GCGCAGGCAGGCTAAAGGCGCCATGCGTCAGCGGCTGATCTTGGGTTTCAAGGGGCTTTAAAGGCCACTACAGTGGCACGTAATTGGAGGAACCAAAATACCAACATCTGAAGTTTCTTATTCCAATTTTATCTGAGAGAGCCAGATGCAATCATCAAACGAGCCACACCTAGCTCGCGAGCCATATGTTCCCAACCCCTGCTCTATAGTAACAACCCTGCTTAATCTATTATTTTAAACAAAGTTTTAATGGTCATCTCGTTTGCTACACATTTTTACTGATCGTTTTTTTATCAAGCGCTATTTTTAACAACACGCTCCATTGCGTGAAAGGTCTATTCTTTATTTGTCCCTTAAATAATACAATATCTTATCAACTGACGTCCAACTTCCCTCCCCATTCGGAACTGGGTCTGCATATTTTAGTGGCTAGGATAACCCCATAGCCTATGTTGCCACGACATTCTATCGGTGCGGCCATCGCGTTCCAGTGTTTACTGCTGCAGCCAGGGCGAGTGATCACAGATTCTGTAGCTGAGGATTGTCCATTAATCGGCAGAAAGACGTTTAACCTCGTCTCTTAACCGGGTCCCCAATGCTACTTGTGGCGACTGGTGCACCTAGTCCACTAGTCAGTTTCCTATCTCCAGAAATTGGTCGTCGCATTAGTTGGCACGACCATATCTAAAATAAGCTTGATCCTTAGATCTTCCTGGTTGCTGGGGGTATTTTGATGATGACAGTCATCAGTCCTTTGGGCCTCGTCGAGGTCTTACACGTGCCCTTTTGCATCCACAATCCTTCGCTGAATTTAACAGTTTGGTAGCGATATTCTTGCTGGGAGGTCGTTTTTTCTACAGTTATGGTTGGGAAATTTTAGTGGTCAGTAATAACACCGAATATCTCAATTATCGTCAGACCTGAATGATTGACTGACTTCATGAATTCTGCGTCATCATCCTCTTCGCTACCTTCGTCATCCGTCTGACTCAATATTCCTCCAATATTTGCCTCCTCGTCGAGGACTGGGACTCTAGCATCTCCATCTACCACAAGTCCATCATCTGTGCCTTGCTGTCCGCCCCTAGCAAATGCTATCTTCAGAAAATTCGTCATTCATATTACACCACTGTGTTCACCTCTGATATTCGTCCGGTCAGCGGAAGGACGTGGCTGACGCTCTTTCCGGGCCTATCGCATTTACCCTGCAACTGACTACTGAAAACCTCTTCTCAGTCTGACCGCTAAGCAACATCGTATCAACCTCGCCAACTGACGGCCACTTGTCCAGATTCTGAAGATGGCGCCATTCCCATGTGACATCTCCACCACATTCCAATGGCCCTTATTTAATTCGTGCCTACACGGATTTGCATTGAGATGAGGCTAAGCTAGACGTCGATAGATTCATCAAGCCCGTCATATACAAGGATGCTAAGACCTGGGATCAGGCCTAGCTTAGCTGCCAACGTGGCAGGGCCTACCGCCACGACAGGCCGAACCCATTACTACCTTGCCACCTGATTCGCGTTCAGCAGCGTTCCTCTGGACATCGCGGGCTTCCAATCTCTGTCCAATGCCTGCCCCTGCCTTCTCACCTTCATCGACTGGTTCACTGCATGGGCAGAGCCTATTTTGTTACCAAGCGTACAATCAACGAACGTGTTCAAGTCACCCCTCAGTAATTTGGTTGCCAGATTCGCCCCTCCCCTTCTATAAGCAGGGCTGCCGGCAGCGCTCAGTTTGAGTCGTAATATCTTTAAGCCTGTCAGAGCGAAACGTCGACAGGGAGAAGTTTGGTCAATCAAAAGTCGGGATGACTGATGAGATGCTGCGTCAGGGAATACACAAGCGACCAGGAGGGTTGGAAATGACAATAGTTTTGGCACTCCGTCAACCAACTGTCATTGTTATTGACCTCTTTCTGCTACTGTTTCCTTTTCATGCCTCTGATGATGAATCCGCGAC